TTAGCTAGATGAAGACACCAGTGTCATTTATGTCTTATCATTAGGTGGGAGGGATTTCTGAGGTATATTTGGGAGATATTTCTGACGCACCCTGTATTTTGACAAGATGTTTGTGGAAAGAGAAAACATTAGCTAAAGCATTATCTAAATTTCTGAAGAATGAAATGAAATCAAAATATTACAGCAAACATTTTGAATAGACATAATTAGTCTGGTAAAAGGTTAATTGGAGTGATAGGAAAACTGTTTTGTCAGAGCTTGCCTTAAAAGAATCCTGGCTTGTAGCAGAACTCAAACACCAGAAACAACAAACTCCTTACTCCCTAAAACTAAACAACACCTACACATTCTATTGGAAGCAGAGTAATAGGTTATGTGAGTGCTATAAATTCAGTGTTATTTCAAATGTCACCTGATTTGAATCAATTTGTAGACCTAGCTTAGTCTGGCACAAGGCTATAATAGTGGAGTACTTGGTATTCATTAGCCTACTAATTGTTACTATTACAAATATTCTACAGGAAAATTATTGGAAACCTGTTTCCCACTTTCATTCTCTTAAAGAAAAAAAAAACCTTTAAAGTTGATTTAGGTTTTATGTTTTTAAACATTTGGCCAAGTGTAAAGTAAAAGAAATGGCCATACAGAATATTGCTTAAATCAAGTAACCAACAAGAAACTGCCATTTATTGTGTATATTACTGCTACTACATCAATGGCTGATAAAAGCAAAGAGGTAGAATTTGTTTCCTCTAATGGCGGCACCAAAAGACTATCCTTTCATTACTTGAAATCTGACGAGACTAGCATGTACTTTGATCATAAAACAATCATCCCCAGATGAGGTGAACTTTTTAGCCTAACATACAGAGTGTTTAAGCCATGGATAGCACCAAATCTTCAAACTGAGGGAACACTATATGCCATTTCATTTCAAATAGATATATTACAATATATTTAATTTACTTTGGGACAAAAAAAAAAAAAAAAAATGAATATCTGAATCATATTTTTGCTGGTAAGTTTTTTTTTTTGCAACAAATATCTGAACTATATATAAAAAAAACAACAACAAAAAAAAACAAAATAAGTATTCCCAGACATTTATTTTAGGGTCTGCATCAGTTTCAATTCATCAGGAAATATTTTAAGATCATTATGTAATTTTTTTTTCACTTGGAATTCCTTGCATAGTGTTACAATTTTTATGAGAAAGAACTTAAAAAAATAAATAAAAAGTGTGTGAGAGAAAGAGAGAGAGAGAGATATCTTTTATGATTAATCAAAATAGATTAATCATTAACTTAAAATTAGAATCTCAAATCCATTAAAATTGCTATTGAGATAATTTGTAAAGTTAATTGTATAATTTTCCTGGTATAAAATCTTTCTAGATCTTTGTTGTCTTGATTAAAAGGAGAACTTGCACAGCATCACCCTATATTATTACTTTGCTTGTCAACTAATGAGGTAACACTACACCAGGAAAATTGAATTTTATGCTTTAATGTAAACATATCATTGGTCAAAAACCAACCAATATCAAAAGATTTATTTTTTACTTTTTAAACAGTATTCTAATTAAACTAATTGACTTTAATTACTTTTCATGATTGGTTGATATAGATAAGTGCAAATAGTGTTAAATAAAAAAGGCTGCTGCATTGCACCAGTTCTCCAAGGAGGGTCTGCTTGAATGAATCAATAACATTAACATTTCTGAATAAGAACTCGGTTTATTGATGAAACAACATCTATTCTTGATTTAGTTGCAAACATGTAGAACTCTGATGTTTGAGAAACTATCATACATTTTATAGACTTATAGGGACAAAGTTCCTTTCCAACAATGACCTATTTTGAGTTATAGTAATGAATCTCACTTATCCAACAATTAAGTACAACTGATTACTTAACATAGGCAATAAGTGACAAAGAAATAATTGGGAAGGGTGTATATAAATTTGTTGGTTAAGAGACCATGATGAATCTTCTAGTCAAAAATAGAAGTATTTCTGTTGCAATTGAGAAATAACAAAAAATATATTGTGTTTTCTGAAGACTCAGAATTAACAATAAAGTTTTGATTTTTGAAAGTAAAAAAAAAGTTTATCTTCTGTATTTATTTCCTATCCTAATTTATAAGATACATTTGATGTTTACATCCTAATTGTCACCAGCACCAACATCCTGCAAGCACAAATGAAATTAAATACTTGGAATCTGTTTTTTGGTAATTTCAGCCTAGACAAAAAATTGAATTCAATACTTTCCACTTTTGACAAAATTAATGAAACATTCTTGCTTCTTGTAACACAAAGGAATTTTCAGATATTGTTTAAATAGAAATGCCATTATCTGCATAAAAAAATAATTGCTAACAGAAAAAAAAAATGAAATAAGATTAGCAAACAAACCATATTGGCTGGGATCAACACTGAGTGATAAAAATCACAAATGGAAAAGAAACAGTAATGACTAATTGTGACAAGTTCAAATAAACAGAATAAAGGTGAGGCTGATACTAAACAAAAGAAAAAATGATTAATTCAGTGTCATGTTAAAAAGGTGAGGTCCAAGGGAAATAAACTGGTTCAGCTCATTTTGATTACTATGAGCAATACTTTAAAAATTAAATTATTTGCTTAAATTTTAAAAGGGCACTTCTTGGTATGACTGAGTGAAGGAAAGATGGAAATTAAACCAAGCCACCCTACCACTGACAACTTCAAGCAAGCTTTCAATAGCTGTTCTTCAGGTTATTCCAAAATGTATCCATTGTTAAAAATTTAGATCCAGAATCTACATTTTGAGTCATCTTTGAACAAGATGAGACAGAAAAGTGTCTGTGATCTAGAGAAAAAGGAACAGATTTTTGAAGCTCAGAATTTTAGGAATGCATTAAGTCATTATGTTCAATAAATTACAAGGAAATATATCATTTTCAATTTCTATTTAAGTGACCATTTGTTTCAGAACAAAACTCCCCACACTAGAATTTGATCCTGAGAAAGCTTCGTTGTTTATGGAAAAATAAATTTCTGCTACAAGATTATAAGAAAGGAAATTATTTTATGACATTTTTTTAAGCAAGATTTGATTGAAAACTTATCTAAGAAAAAAAAAAAAAAAATGAAAAGGAAAAGAATTCCCCCCCAACCCAACTGTCAGAATCTAGGCACAGTTAAGTATAATATATATAAAATGCAATTTGGAACAGTTTTATTTTGGCTTGTTTTGCTGATTAAACAGCATCTTTAGAAAAATAAGATTTTATTTCAACCCTTTTTCTGATGACACAGTTCAATCAGCAAAACTCACCAAAAGAGTTTTCCAAATTGTCTTATATATGTACTACTTCATTGGATTCTCATCCAAATTTAAATCAAATTGTAAACATAGAAAACAGAATTAAGTACCCCAGAGTTTAATAGCTTTCAATAATTGAGATTTGGACACACAGGGTACCTGAATAGTAAAGGCACTGCCAACATTTTAAAATGACTGAACTTTGGTTTAAGCCTCTTATTTGGCCAATTTACTGCTGTTTGTAATAAATGCAAGAGTATTTACTGAATTTTACTTCTGATTGATTTTGTGAGAGAGGAAATTAAATAAATGGCCTAAGATCACGTTTAGAAGCATCCAGTGAAACTTGCTATCAATGGTCTGCAAGATAACCAGTATTTCACAGTTGGTGCTCAAAACAGTATGACGTTTATAGACAGACATTTTGAGTGCAATCAATTATTTGAATAAAGCAAAAATTTACTTATATAACCAACACATTTACTTAAAATCTCTTGCAACATAAGATTTGATTTTATACAAAAAATAGGTATGCTATAGAGAAAATAGATATATTTAAAATAAGACCATATCTCCTCCATTGTTAAATATCAACAGGGAATCAGGATTGAGTGACAAAAGATTCAGCCTCATATTTGAAAAAGCCACATTACTTACCAGATGTATTTTTTTTTTAAGTAATGGATACTTATAAATTCTATATTTTGCAGAATATTACAGATTTTACAAATATTAAAAATAAAACTTTCACATGAGGAAACAATTCTTGTTGCTTTAGTTTGAAAGTCAATGAAAATGGAAGCCTTTTGTCAGTTCTAGCCATTAAAATGAATCAGTAACTGTTCAGACTAAGTCATGCAGAGCTATTTACTAAATGTAATATAGTCTGGCACAAGGACATCAATGAAACACTCAGAGAAGATTGATAGTGAGATGAATGTTACACCATAAAATAACCCCTTAATTTATAACTTTTGTAGGGGATTTAGATTTTTAAAAAACTGTTAAGTATTATTTTTAAGTGAAATTCAAATTAAATAAAAGAACTTTAGTAAGTATAATTAACTTGGAAATGATCATTGAACTGTGTCGTATAACAAAATGTCTTTTCCAAGTCAGGACTCAAAATTAAAATTAATAAAACCAGTTAGCAGTTTGAGTCTTTACAATTTTAAGTATGAGATTTAAAATAATAAAAAAAAATACCATATCTTGTTCTGTATTGATCACATTTTTTGGGAAAAAAAAAGGACTTTTTTTATACATTTAACTGAACACTATAGTGACTGTTCTATTGTGATAGAAAATATTTATGAAATTACTGATGAAGCCATCCTTGCTATTCTATTTTAAAATATACGCAGTTTATTTTCTAAATGAGATTGTGATAATGAGTTTCACTAACCAGGCAATACACTTGGAGTGTCACACTGCTCAGCTGCTGATCTAACTACAAAGCCAAATATGCAAACCAAAACATTGGTCTCCTCAATATGCATTTTTCCCCACCAAATTAAAACAAACGAAACAAATATTTGGTCCAATAGTCAAAAGAAAGCCCAATAACTTCCAGAGCCCAAATCAAATAAAAGCATTTAATAAAACATTCTCTTTCTTGCAGATCTTTAATGTGACTCTGGTGGTAATATATCCCACCTGTTGAAAGAAAATCAAAACTTAATTTGCTAACATTAAGAGAAACTTTTGTTTGTATTCTTTTCCAAGACCTGCCTTGAGGTGGGGTGAGGAAGAGAATGGGAGGGTGTTTTCTCCTGTCGGAATGTGGAAAATAAATTCGATGATTGAAATAATGGAACAAATTTGAAGTTAGAGAAAGAAAAAAGAAAATCTTATGAAAAAAATAAAAACAGACAATTTTGCACATAAATATGGCATTTGAAATTCATAGTTTTATAAAATTATTTAATAATATAGACATCTTTGTGGTATTTTAATATAATGGAAGCTGAGCCACAAATTTTTGTTACAGGTCAAAAGGTCAAAATGACCAGTGTGTGTGGGGGCGGGGGGAATAAAGGAGTGTCTTGTAGGAAGAGAGTGGTGAGTTGCAGAATGGATTTATAAAAGCCATTCAATTGGGTTGGCATTTCATAGGCAGAAGAGAATGTGGCAATTGTTTTGGTTTTAAGGCAAAAACTTCCATGTTAAGAACACCAATCATTCCCCTGATGCCAGAGTCCATTTGAAATGGATGAGAGCTCAACGGCTTTCATTATATATAACCTTCCCTCTGTTAAATTGTGAAAAAAAAGAAGAAAAAAAAAAAAAAAAAAGAAAAAGAAAAGAGCTCTGTTGCATACACTCAAGTTCAGCAAATTGGTTACCAGCTCCAATCAGGGTATCCCTTTATTTGAACCAACAGATTTAACTTTTGTTACCTGAAATAACCACAACCCAAACAACAGACCCATTTTCTCCTTTGGTCCCTTAATCAGAAATTGATAAACTTGTGTGTGAGAGTTTTGTAAGATTTGATTGTTGGTACTGTGTAGGTCGAATATCACTTGAGCTTGATTTTGGTCTGCCCATATCTGACAACTGGGACCGGGTCTCATCTTTGGAAGAGTCATAGGCCACAACAAGTTTAGATTTTCCATTTACACTTTCTAATGTGGACATTTCATCCGCTTCTGCTGCTGCAGATTTCATTGCTTTAACTGATGAGGGCGAAGATCTGGCCAACTTTAGTGACCTCTCCTCACTGTCGTCTTCATCATCATTGACAACCAATGCAATGCTGTGTTCATCAAGTTCTTTTGGTTGTTTTGTAGGACAGCAGGTGTCAGTGTAACACTGTTTATCAGGTCCACATTCCAATGCACAGTCACGGCCAGGACGAATCTCTTCAAACTGTAAAACAGGTTAACATTTATAAGTCAAGGAAAAACAAAACAAAAAATATGCTTCAAAATAGCAAACATATGGGCTGCAACTCTTTCTTATCTAATGAATATCAAATACTAGACTGACCACAAGGACAAAAGAGCCCTCTCCTCAGACAAGAGCTCTTTATATTTGTTTGCTACACAAATTAGATTTACATTTACAACATTACTGGGACCTTAAAGACTGACTGTTAAAAGAAAGAGACTTGGCTAGGTTCTTTTTGGTTCAGTGGAGTTGAAAGACTAGTGAAGTATCTACAAAACGACATTTTGACTAACCATCAGATTTATTAGTCTACTGTCCTACCACTAAGTTTGCTATAAAAGAATTAAGAGCAAAAAGGATTTTATTTGATAACTTAATGAAAGCAGAACATTAGCAAAAAAGCAATGCCTAGCAATGACTTTTTCTATTCTGATTTATAAAGAACAATTTTATTTCAAGACAATACAATGAATGAAAATTTTAATCAATTGTAAATCAAACATCAAAGTGTAATACCTGTTCTCATCAAGCTTCTTATCAAACATAAAAATTCATATAAAATGCAATATATGTGTGCATGACAAAATGCACAGATACTACACTACATGCTGGTGCTATGCAAAAGTGTTGGAGAGTAACACTTTGCTCATAAACAGAATGCCACTATGTACAAATGGATCTTGAAATTTTTGATGGGTAATATGCGAGTGTGTTGTAGTGCACTGTTTGCAGAGTTGTTTTTTGAAGAAAATGATCTTGGGTAAAAAAAAAAAAAAATAATCTTAACTTCATTGAAAACATTTTTCAGTTTCTCTATCAGTATCAGATATTAAACAATTGGCAACTTATTTTTAACATTCTAATTTTAAAGTCAAATTATTATGTAAACAAAAATAAACTTTGTTTTAAGATTATTTATTCATAATTGTTGAAATAACCTGATTTTTAACACAAGGCCAGTTTTACAGAGCACCCTGTAGCCACAAATTCAATAAGAATAACTTGCAAAAGAATATTTTTTTTGTTTTTTTTACAATGATGAAATAAAATAAAAAAAATTATATATATTATAAATTTACTAATTTAAAAATATGGTTCCATTGCTACACAGGAATTACCAGGTTTCAAAAAAACAGGAGCTAAAAACTTCAAATTCAATTATAGAATTAAATTAAAGTCCCTAGTTCTGTTTCATTTTTAAGCGAATTTTGGAATAACTTATTTTGAAATTTACTGAGTTTTATAAGCACATACATTCATAATATTAGTTTCTAAGGATATGGGGAAATCTAATCATTTTAACAAGAGGTGGTAGGGTATTCATTTTCACTGACAACTATTGTATCAAAATAAGAGTTTCTTTTGAAGAGGTTAAATCAAGGTAGGGTAGGGGTGCTTTTTCCAATGAATGATGACATCCATTCAACACATGTCGTCTGGTCTTTTTCAATAACAAAAAGTTTTTTGGCACTTTTGTTTCGCCGTTAAATTTGTACTTGTATACATAAAGATTTTTTCTAAAGGGGTTGTTTGTATATGAATAAGTCATATTGAACTACAATTTTAAAATTATTCTTAATTTTAATTACTAATAGATTATACATCTTTGTATTTTTCATTTATCATTTTTTTTTTTTAAATTAAAAAATTAAGGAAAATTTTTGACAATGTTGGCAAAGAATAGCTATTTCATTTCTTTGATTAAGTAAATTTTTATTTTTTATAAACCTAGTAATATATACTTTCTAATGTATGCACAAAGGACATGGGTCATTTAATGACCTACATATTCTAGCTTTTCTTATTAATTTCCATTTCACAGTAGGTGTTTTATTGGTCTCTTAAGTGCCAGAAATATTTTGATAGGCATGTTTGATTTCGGCATTTATTTATCCTAAAAGAACTTTGATGTTAGTTGAACTGTTTTTTGAACTCATGTCTTGTGTATCCAATGTAGACTTTTACGTTGTCTGGATCCTCAATAGATGAGATATTGCATTGGTATACTAATGATTCAGTGCAACATTATTAAGAGGACAGTTATGAGGATTTCTGCAGTTACATAATTTTTGTTTATCTTCATTTCTTTATTATTATACTGTCTAAATTTTTTTGATCTTGGTCTAAGTGTTTATTCAAGATATTAGCATTAGGTTTCTTAATATTTTTTTCTAAGTTTTCAGTACAGTTGTAACTTAATTTTAGGGTATTTTTTATTGAAAATAGTACTGAGTTTACTATCTTTAGGAAAATGTTTAACGATTAATGCAAAGAATTTTAGTCCTAATTTGTTCTTTACCATTTGGTTGTATGGGACTGTCTACCAAATTATTTTTCTACTTCTGTTTTTTTCTATGCTTTCCATTTTCATTTTTTATGTAAGTTAACTTTGGCCTTTTGTAGCCACTATCTTTTAGAGCTTTATTATAGAAATTAATATTGATAGAAAATCTTCTCATTTGCTGAATTTATACTTATTTTCTTTTTGATAAATAAAGATATATGCTTAGTTATAGATGGAGGATGATTAGATTAAGGGTATATATATATATATACAAAGGATTAGTATTGGTTTTTTATAAGGTATGTATACATTTTTCATTAAATCTAATGTTATATCAAGGAAGTTCACCTTTTTCAATTTAGTACTTTCAGTAATTTTTAAGTTCAAGCATTTAAATTCTCTGTATAATATCTTTTTAATTTTATCGATTTTAAAGTTTGTAGAGTTCTTTATAACCATAAGTCCATCATATTTAAGCTCTGTAGATTTGCATTGAGTACAGTTTTGTCAAAATAAAAATATTAATAAGAACACCGGATTATATATCTTACTGTTCTTTCTCTTTATTATAATATATCTCAAAATAAAAAGAAAGTACAGTTAGATTTACAATCTAGAGTTCTTTTACATCTATTTAAAAAAAAAAAAGTGCTCAATACACAGTAGAGCATAATATTATAATTATTTTTTTAAATCACAACAGAGAAATTACCATGTTTTGAAACCAAAACCTAAATCTTAAATTAAACTTAAAATTTAAAGTTCAGTTCCATTTTCAAGAAATGAAGAATAATTCTGCATCACTTGAAAATGGAATTGAACTTAAATTTTAAGTTTAAGATTTAGGTTTTTGAAACATGGTAATTTCTGTCTCATAAAATGAATACATATTTTAAAAAAATATAATCATAATATATATATATATATATATATATATATATATATATTGGCCAAAAGCACTTGGGACAATGGATATACAGACAATTTTTTTTTTTTTTTTTTCCCTTACCCACTTCATCAAATGGAAAAATTTTCCTTGTCTGCTATATTCAAACAAAATGTTTGAAAAAAATTACACACACACATTATATAATATATATATCACATAATAATTCATCGAGTCTACAACAAGAATACTCAACAGAATGCACTGGATGGCCGTTTCGTCCTTTTTTGGCACTCATCAGCAGTGTGCATTTACTAACGAGAATTGAATCTGGATTGTTATGATGCACACTGCTTATGAGTCCCAAAAAAGATGAAACAGCCATCCAGTGCTTTCTGCATTTTGTTGAGGATTCTTGTTCTAGACTAGATGAATTATTATGTGAAATTATTCAAATCTCCAAAATACACACACATACACAAAGAGTCCTATAAACTAAATCCAGCAGCAAGGTCTCTAATTAGGAGATTGGAATCACCTCTTAATTGCTGCTGTTCCCAGACCTGGGGTTGTAGTACCTGTTAGGGACTGATCTATTGGCAAATAGTGAACACACACACACACACAAAAAAAAAAAAAATTGTTATGAAAGTTTAAAAATAATTTTTTTATAGTAAAAATACCAGCAATACATTTTTTATAAAAAAAAACTGACCAATGATAAATTTTTAAAGCAAAATGACCAGCAACATTTTATCTGTAGCTGAAGGTATACAGTTGCATTCAAATTATTTAGATTTTGGCATTAAATAACTCATAGAGGTTGATATGCTGCTAAATAAAATTAACCAAACAACAAGAAAGAACTCTTTTATGACATTAATCCATATAATATCCTAATCCATTAATCCATATAATATCCTACAATTTCTTAAAGAAATCAAAATGTATTCCAAAATGTAACTCCAACAAAACTACAACAAAGAACACACATATCACTGCCTCTAGAAATTATGTCCACAGAACAATGTATATGCATAAAAGCCGAGTATCATCTACCATGTATTCAATTGTGAAAACAGAATAACACTTCAAAGCTCCCAAGAAAATTAAATTTTGGCATTAAATGATCCATAAGGAGTTGATGTGCCATTAAACAAATTAATCAAGGCACATATGCTATAAAATAAGAAGAAATCACACAAATGCTTAAAATGGTAAATGACCAAGTGATCAATGCAAGACAGAACTTATGTATACAAGCAAATAATGAAATAGCATGTCTACATACCATTTCTCCAACTAAGTTTCATGCAGCTAGCAAAGTAGAAATCTGTTAGTAGGAACCATACCAAATGGTTCAATTTATATTCTGCACATGCTATTATACCTGGAATTATTGTGGACACCTACCCAGCATATATGTTTTTTTTTTTAATATGTATTAATGTTTACAGGTCACCTTTACTCCTTTAATTTAAAAGGCCTTTCACTGCAGTATTATAACTTTCACCATCAAACACAGGTCACATCTTGCACTACTTCCTCTTGTAAGCTTTTGCTTTAACCAATAACTTCCAGGTTCTTTCTGGGGTTTCATTATTATTTTTAGTGCACTTCAAAAGAATTACAGAGTGCAGAAAATATTGGAGTGCAATGGTAGGTTTGTGTGTTAGTCAAATATAGCCAAAATACTTCCCCCTCCTCACATCTCTAAAGGGAAATTTGTAATAAAAATTAAATGAAGATAAATAAATGTACTAAAAATTAAAACTGAAAACCTCACAATCCCCATTCCAATGCCCTAACCAAGATGAAAATCCCAAAATTTTATTTACCTCTACAAATTCTGGCTGAATTGTTGTTGAATGGATGCCTTCATTATGAAACAACTCTTTAATTTTGCCTGCAACTTGCATGTATTCTTCAATATTTTGGCAACGAACATGTGCAGATGCAATGATTCTGTTTCCTGCTAATTGCCAAACATGGAACTCATGAACTGCAAGAACTCCGCTTATCTGAAAAAGTAAACATTATCAAAGAACATCAAGTAGGTCTTAAATATCCAAAGTGAAATTAAAGAGTGGGAATTTTATTCAAACTAAGGAATTCATAAGTGAATCTTAAAGAGAATAACATTAAATTAATTGGTAAGAAATTTTTCATTCATTGTTTGATGAGATAAGAAAGAATTATTTATTGATTTGATCAACAATAATCAAAAGGATCCAGTTTCCTTATAAACATACAAGTCTACTTTTATTTAATTTTTTTTTAAACAGCTTTCTTGGAATTTTGCTGGACATTTTTTAATCATTGCATGGGGTTAGTTCAGACTAATCCCTTCCCACCAACACACACACAATATTCTAGTTGTTTACTCTTGATATTTGCTCACATATCTGGTGTATTGTGAAATGTCATTGAATCTTGTTTCCAAATGGCATATGCACCAATCTCATTCACGTCTAATCTGATGCTCACATCTGTATGTTCCTGAGACTGTCTCTCCCAGATTTTAATGCTAAAACTTATGTACTTCTTTGCTCAGGTCTGTCATACCCAGAACAAGATTTGACAACATTCCAGAACACAACAGACATATGAGGAAGGCCTAGTGAAAGCTACACTGACAATATATTGGGAATATAATTTAAAAGAAATTAATCTGAACTAATCACATTTATCTTCCTTGAAAACTTATATTTTAAAAATATAATATCTTCTAAGAATTCAATTTTTTGTAAATACTGACTCAACAATCCAATTAGTTTCAAGGGTTTCAAATGAGAAAATTTCACAGAATTGATAAGGAGTTGCCTTTTTTTTTTTTTTTTTTTTTTTTTTAAAATTAAAGAGACAAATTTTAATTTAAATAGCAAATTAGAAAAACCAAAATGGAGAGACAGCAGGAATGATTAAACAAAGTTAAGAGAATTGGAGAAGGTAGTAATAAGGGATAGTGAGAAATAAAACAAGAAATACAAAAATAAAGCAACTGAAAATTAAACCGAGTAATTTCTACTACCAAGTGGACAAAAATGTCTGTTTGGTCAAAATTGGATTTCATTATAAAATACATCAACAAAAAGTGAAAGAAAAAATTTTCTCAAAAGCTTACCTGTTCAAGTTTTTCTTTAATGTCTTTGACTTGAATATGAGTTGGAACTGTTTGTAAAAGAATCAAACCTGATTCTCTTACTTTGAAAAAAAGAAAAAGAATAAACAGTAGAAAAACAAATGGAATTTGTTCATAGAAAATGCAGCAAATAATGAAACTTCTATTCATTATGTGATAATGCAAAAATATAAATTAAAATTAGGCTTGATAAAAACATCTAATTGGTAAGCACATATCTTGTTACTATATGACTTTACAAGGGTGATTAAAAGAAATCTTAAAATCAGAAAACTATTGATTAAACACCTTATTCACAATGAGAAAGTTGTAAAATTTGAGAATGTGAACATAGTTCTGGAAACACTAAAATTTATGTATGTCAGTCATATAATAATTTTTGAGTGAAAATGTAGCTAACTTTTTGTAGATAATTGGACAAACATACTTTTTGCCTTCACAATTAGAAAATGTTGAAACTTTTAAAGAGAAAAATCTAATAAATGTAATTTTAAATACTTACATAATGGAATTGTAGTTGCAAGGATAAGGATTACCATTCCTATACTGGAAAACAAAAAATAACAGAAATGAAATCAATAGAGTATTGTGAGAACAAAAAGAGGAAAGCATTGAAATCTTTACAATTGTTTGTGCTATTTTTACCTAATTACAAAAAGTTTTACAATTGATTTTTAGGTGGGGGATCCACGAATTTCAGGAATTAAAAAACTTTTAAAAATTTTAGACAAAGATTCAATTGCATAATCTGAGAAAAATTTTGGCAAACCTGGAGAAATGTGCTTGCAATAAGATGAGTGCCAAAAAGGTGTAAATGACTGCCTTTTTTTTTTCTATCTTCATTCTTTAGTAATGTTTATTGTTTTAAAAAGTAATGATTAGAATTGTAAGAAAACTGAAACATGAAAGTGAATTTATTTATTTTCTTTGTTCTTGAGAATTGACAATAAAAATTATAAATATTATCAGATTGTTTATTTACACTATTTATTTATATTATTTAGGTTGCAATGGTTGGCAAAATATTGGCTAAACTTTATAAAATGGTAAATATTAAGCTTTTCTTTATTGTTGGTAAACATATTTTAATCAGTAAGTGATTTATGAATAAAAATTGTTTTCAAATATAAATATGAAAAATATAAAAATGATAAATATGAAAATATAAAAATGATAAATTTTGCATTTCATTAGTTCTTATTGTATTAGTTTTTAGTAGGTACCTCCAATAATTTGATGAAAAAAAGAGCATAGCATGATGAAAAAGGACCCAAACTTGATAAAAACAAAGTTCTTATCAAAATGTTCATGCTATTAAGAGGAAAGACCAAAGGATTTTTTTTTATTTTATTAAATTTTTTTATCCTTTCTAGCATGTTCTGAATTGGTTAAAATTCTTGTTTTTTGCATTAACGATTAACATAATATTTACAATTAGGGTTTTAGTACATTTTTTCCAGTGAAAAATACACCGATTTGGAAATTCTTGCAAAAATCAAATAATTGTCAGATTTTAATGAAACTTTCAAGACTTATTTACATATGAATGAAATTATTTTTTAATTTTCAAAAATTAAATTTTAATCAGAAAATTTGTTTTATTAGTTAAAAATAGAACTCCTTGGAGAGTGTAAATCATCATTTTTTACTGCTACTCATTTCCCAAAAATCTGCTCAAATTGTAAAATACAATAAAACTGACATAAAAGCTTTCACTGTATATACTTGTGTGATGCACAATCTTGCATATTATGCAACCCCCAAATTTTCACTTATAAATCATGTATCTTATGTATCATGTGAGTTCCTTTTGTGAGAGACCAAATTACAATAGACTAACCTCTCTTTCTCTATCACTTTATCCCATCTTCTAATTAAATAAGTTAAAAAAGTAAAAGAGAATGATAAAATTATTGTTAGTAACACTATACTCATTGCATACAACCATAAACAACTGGATGAGAAACAGCTAAACATCATATAAATATATACCATGGAAAAGATGCATATTTGCTATGTTTGTATTTTATAATACGATACTAATATGTGAATATTACATGCATTATTATTAGATATAGTTAAGTAAAATATCAGTTTTATCAAAATCATGTTTATTTTAAATACAGCCGTACTTTTTGACTATAGCAAATGGATAAATAGTTTGGTCATCGGCATAGCCAAGACCAGTAGTACATATGCTAATTTTATATCTCGTGTATGATGCAACCCCCCTTAAAATTAGCTTCAAAATTAGGTTTTCGAAACTTGCTGATATATGAGTATATATGGCAATTGCTTTTATTAATAAGATTTATTAAGGACAATTTTATCTTAAAAATATTTTTTTTTTTGATGAATAATGAATTTTTACAAAAATTATTTACATTTTTTAAAAAATTTTTAATTATAATAATTTAAACATTTCTTTAATAAAATCTTTAAAATTCTGCATTACTTTAATTGTGTTAGGTGATATTGTTATTAAGTGAAAACTATATTTACTAATCAAAAATTGAAAAGCTTAATACAAATCATCTTGCACCAAGATTTTAAAAATAATTTTTAATTTTGTTTATGTATATAAAATATGTAACATGTCCATTTTTGAAAGTATGGCCAACAATACACAACATTATCAGAAAATAAAAGCAATAAAAATAGTAAATTTAAAGTCAGCATTCCTAAAATTAGATTATAGAGAATATTTTTCAACATTTTAAAGATTACCGAGTATTTAAAAAAGTATTTATTTCCTTAAATTATGTTTTACAGTTAAAGTGTCTGTAGCACAACAATAAATATGTCATCACCTGCCAACATTCGTCAAGAATGTAAAACAGTGACTGTTGGTTAAAAACACATCTACTGTTTGTTTCAAATATACATTTCTGTGTTATTTCAAACTTAAAGTAAATAATATTTGTTTCAAATCAGATTAATTTAAATCAGCTGGTATTCCTCAAAGTTTCATAAAAGTATATTTTATTTTTGGAAAATTTTTTAATACAGAGAATTACATAATTACAGAGAGCTAAAAAAGGCACTAATCAGCTATTCTAGGAAAAAAAAAAAAAAAAAAAAAAAAAAGATTCCAATTAATGTAATCTCTGTTTAAATACACTAGAGTATTTTGTTTACTGGAAATAGTAAATTTAATCCTTTAGCTTTCAATTACAGCTAAAATGAAAGATTTTCATTTTTAAAAATTCACTTTAAACCTTAGTCATTGTGAATTAGTAGAGGTCCCTAAATCTTAGGAATTTTTTTTTTTTTTTTTGGAGGTTCCTAGTTTTAAAATGTTGTAAATATATAAAATTATTCTCGTAAATAAACAATCTAAAAGTGTTTAATATTTTTGTTGTAAATTCTCAAGAACAAAGAAAATATATAAATTCACTTTCATATGTTTAGTTTTTATTCCAATTCTAATCATCGCTTTTTAAAACAATAAACATTGCCAAAGAGTTAAGGTAGTTAAAAAAAGGGTTGTTGTGAGAAAACAGACCTTTTGACATGCCGGTATGTTTGCCAAAATTTCTATTATCAAAACAAGGGGAGGTAATGGAGAAAAAAAAAAGCAAAAAAGAAAGGAAAATGACTAAATATATTTATTTACCTCATTGCAGGGTCGACGTAATATTTCCATGCACCTTCTGCAAACCAAATAATTAAAGCACTAATGATAACTATCACAGATCCTAAGGCATCTCCAAGAATATGCAAGAACACACCACGCATGTTCAGCTGAGATCCTGAAGCTGAAAAATTGAAAATAAAATCATTCTTCATTAAAATAATAATACACATGCAAATGTTTATTCATTATAATCACAGTAGATAGAAACAAACTACTCGATTCTATTCACGAAACATTCATTTAAAACATCAAAAATTATAATTTAGTCTTGGAAATAAGCCTTTTCAAAAATTGGTGCAAGTCACTCCAGATTTTTTCCTGATGTTTCAAAACTGTCATTAATTTAAAAACTTAAGGGGAAATTACTCTGACTCTAGGCACAAAACTTTCAAATCTTCTGTGTCTACTCAGAGATAGGAACTAAAACTAACCAACCTAACTTCATAACTTGACTAAAACCTCTTTCTCTTATAACATATATAAGCTTCTTAACTGTTTTTATACCCTGTGGCTAATGTATTCATGAATACTTGTTGATTTTTGCAAAGAGAATCAAATATTGTGAATAATTGGCAGCCATATGTAAAAATGAAAGTTTATTTTATGTAACTTTTTTGAGAATCATAAATGACATTTATAATGCAACCCTTCTTCAACTGGGCTTCTATTTAGACAATGCTTTTAAAATGGCAATTATTTTTTGAAAATATCTGAATATTACAGCCATTCATTTGATTAAATATAAATTTAAAATGGTGTTAATACCAAAAATGAAAATTACATTTTTCTTAAAACAATGATAAAATTTTTCAAGACCACATCTATTGTTAAAACATGTTGAAAAACATTTGCATAAAATTCAAAATGTGCAAATATATATAAGCATTATAGTTAATTCGATAAAATTAGAAATTATGAAAGAAAGACATTAAAAATGACTTCAATGGAATAAACTGAGAAGTGAGAAAGGAATAAAAATTCTGATTAAAAAAGACTATTAAATAATACAGGAACAACTTTGTTGATAATGTAACATTTTGTGGTTAATATTAAAATCTGAGTAGTTATTCATATTATTCTAAAATATGAGGGAGTCAGAAAATTTCTTGACCCAACCAAAAATGAAAAAAAAAAAAAAAAAAATGCCCAGTGGAAAATCTCATGATGGCATTTCTGACCTTAGCTCTCTGGTTGGGATCTAGAAAGGAATGAGTATATACCAGACATCAAAGGAAATAAAATAATAATAATAATAATAATAAAAAAACTACTGATGTTTTGTCAGATTTTGGGAAGGGCAGTAGGCTAGGCAGAGAAAATTTCAGCAGTCTCTCACATTATACAAATCTTATAGCAAATAACGTTTCATAAGAAACAAATAAAGAAAAACAAAATATGTAACATACAAAATGGAAAACAACAACAATCATCCTAAAAAGTTAATTTCTAATTTTATAAAAATGAATTAACATTTGTGCCTAGACATTAAATTTCCCCCCCTGCATTTTTATTTTCAATACTCACTGATCTTGACAGGAATATCCTCAGTGCCATCTTCAGCATGGTTCATGACAATCTCTCCAGTATTCCCCAGCTTATTTTCCACTAAAGCAACATTTTCAGATTTGTCACTATGACTGTGTCCATGTGAATGACCTTCAAAATGAAAAAAAAAGGCAAACAATAAGTACAACAATCAAATAAAACAAAAAACAAAAAAAAAAAAACACACATTGATTTTTGAGAACAATTGAATCTAAATGAAATGACATACATAAAACATAAAAATATCTTTCTACATTACATACTTGCAATTAGCCCCACCTAGTGGAAAAAGTTTGCAAAAAAAAAAAAAAATCTTCCTGTCAGCAGGTCTTAAATGGATTTTCTGCAAAAGGCCTTTAACCATCTTAACAGAGATTTGAACTTAAATATACAGTTCTCTTTGGGTTAACACAAAGAAATTCAATTCTTCCCTGTTATTACTGTGAGTTAGAATCTTTAAGAAGCATATACACTACATATGTAAATTGGGCTTGGGGGAGTAGCCTAGCTTGCATAAAATTTAAGTGAAGATGGTTTCAATTTTTTTTTTTTTTTTTTTAAATATCTTTCAAAAAGTGCTTAGATGGTAAAATTGCAATAAATTCTAAGACTGTCTTTACATCATTGGTAGGCATCAAATTCAAAGAGTTTTTATTTTTTTACTAATTTTTTTTTCTTTTGCCTCAATTTAAAAAAAATTTTGCTTCAGATCACTAAGTCAAAAATATCTACTGCTGCAAAGCTGTGCCTGACCCCAGTCATAGTCATATGATAATGTCTTCATGAGGAGGCTTACTAGTTATATTTTTATAATTGTGTATATATGTATAAAAAATAACAGCTTAGAGTTTAATAATGGACAATATCAGATAGAAATAACAGTAAAGAAGCAATGACAGACTTACCATGACCATGGAATAAAAACAAACCAATGAGGTTGACTAATAGACCAAACACTCCAACACCAACCAACATCTTTGCATTGTGAATTTCTTCAATTTGGACAAGGCGCTTCAGTGACTCAACAAGAATGGAGAAACAGAGAGCAATCAGGAAGACTGCATTGACTAAAGCCCCAAGGACTTCAGCTCGAGCCCAACCAAATGTATTCTTTTGTGTCCTCCATTTGGAGATCTACAAAATGAAAAACAATGGTCAATTAACTAACTAAAAAAAAAAAAAACTAACCAGACAGGCTACAAATAGAATGAAATGTAAAAATGTGTTTAGGAGGTTAAAAATGACATGGAAAAGAGAAGTTATTTTTCTGTCATAATAAACAAAATAGTAATTTAATATTTATAATGAAAAGAGAAATTTGAAGCAGGGTTGATTAAGTTCATTAACCATAAAAACCCCAGATGGAGAAAAAAGTTCAACCAAGATTTTATTGTCAATCCCTAATACTATGTCTCAATAAACATTTAGTTCAGCATTTTACAAACTGATGAATAAAGAACAAAAATACTAATTAAGTGAATGGACAACAGATAACAAGAATCTTGACAATCAACAAATATCCCCACCACAGCACACTTAAAATAAGATCCATTCATTAATGACATAAGTGGTATATACATATACAGTGAATTGTCAACAAAGTGTCTAATCCCCATTTATACCTGTTGTACAATTGTTTCAATAAGTATGCATTTAGAAATAAAATATTTAAGATACAGGTAAGAAAAACAACTAATACTTTTCAGGAAGGAATATTTTCTAAATTATTTTTAAATTTTGTGCAATCAATCTAGTATTTTTATTACTATATTTATTTTTGCAAAATAATTTAATGATCAAATGAATCATACCATAATGGACATTATTGTCTTAATAAAAAAAAAAAAAAAAATTCCCAGTGAATAATGAATTTTTACAAGAATTGTATTCATATTTTTAATATTTTAATTTGAATAATTTTGAATATTTGTCATTTATCACATGATAGATAAGAATAAATCTTTAAAAATTTTCTTTTAATTTGTAGTGGTTAAGTGATATTGTTATTAAATAAAAACTGTATTTACTAATCATAAATTTAGCAACACTCAGTATTTAAAAGCATTTAAAATTTTTTTTTATGTATAAACGTACAGATTTTTGTAAACACAGATGTCTACACAAGACATTACCAAAAAAAAAAGAAAAAAAAAAAAAAAAAGAGCCGTAATTATAGTAAATTTAAAATTTATTGATAATTTTCTAACATTTCCTCAACATGTGTCTTCATAAGTAAGTCACTTGTCTTTGTAAGCAAAACTTCTTAAAATTCAATAAAATATCAGAATGCTTAAAATATTTAAATTTTTTTAATATTACTAGGTAGTTAAAAAATTATATATATAAAAAAAAAAAAGGCATTTACATTGTATTCATGTAATTTAATATTACAACTATCACCCCCTTACATGGATTAGCCAAACATGAAACTGTCAATAAATTTGTCAAACACCTTATATAAACACCCACCTCCATGTTAAAAAATGGTTTTAGTTATATTTTAAACTAAAAAATAATATTTGTTCTAATTCAGACTAATTAAGCTAATTTTTCTCAAATAAGATTTCAAAAAAGTATATTGTATTTTTGCAAGTTTTTTTTAATAAAGGAAATTATGTAGTGTTGAGAAATTTTCCAATAGGGACAATTTTATCAATAATCAGAAAAACCGTCATTTCAATCAATTTAAATCGAGTTTGAAATACAGCAAAGCATTTTGCTTACTGGAAATGTTAAATTTAATCTATTAGCTTGGAATTAAAATAAAAGCTTCAAGAAAGATTTTTCATTTTTAAAATACATTAGTATTGCTTTTTCAGGAGATAAAAATATCGTTTTAAGGAATTGACCGTAGTCGGGATCATTAAGTCAATGTGAATGATCCTTTCCTTAGCTGTATAGTATGGGCTTTGCCAGGGCTACATACAGTTTTGAATTCAGAGTTTTCCTTCTCTTAGAATGGTTAACGCTCATGGCAAGAGAATCTAGTCTGTCCTGCTATATACCCACAGATGTGTATGGGGAGAGAAGCGATGGAGTCATACCTTACCACAGTTGTTAGCATGTAAATGAATGTAATGAACTCAACTCTCTGATTCTGCAATCAGAGCCGCAATCCATTACTTTACTGTGCCTTCTAGTTTTAAGGCATGCTATATTTATGGGTTAAAGTACCCAATATCAAGAATAGAGTGTATAGAAATATAAAAGGGGACATTGAGTTCAACACACTGTGGTGAAAGTCTGTTTCATGTTTAAACACAATCTTCATGACAATCTCTTTCTTCTCTCACACAAACCATATATATATATATATATATATATATATATATATATAGGCACAGGGGAGTAGTGGATAGTGATTCGTATTGAGGAATCGGAATGCCGAGTTTGAATTCCAGTTGAATCCATTACATTTATTTATGTGCTAATACCCTTGGGAAAGGTATTAACCCTCTTCTCCTCCCTTCAGCTATAGGTAAATAGCAGGACAGACTGAGTTCTATAGCCTTGGATGCCAACTGGTCTAGGAGAAGCACAACCCTGAATTCAAAACCAGCAGAGTGTTGTTTGGGGACCTTGCGGCACGTAATGCACCAGGTCTCTGTATTTGGCCTTTCAAAAAGTGTGGTTGGTTCTGCACAAAACCTTCACCACTATAAATTGACAGATACAAACAAAATTCTAGGCCAATTTCATAAAAAAAACAAGGATTGTTAAATTCAAAAACTTAAACATTTTTTTTATAATCTTGATAATGGTTAAAAGCTCTTAATTATGTTTCAACAATATTTGCACTCACTTGATTTACACAACAACAAACTTGTACATAAACTAAAAAAGTTTTTTTTTTTTTTTCATCATCCATTGACAAATTCATATTAATGAAAGACTGCTGCTTAAATACACAAACATGTCAAAAACTTCTCAACTGCTATTTAAAAATAAGTAAATAAAAACATGACAAAGGAAAATGAAAAACTGGTTGATTTAGGTAAAACCATTTAATAAATTTAGGAACTTTTAACTGAGTTTTCTTCAAGTTTGAAGCAGTGAAAAACAAGGAGGATGTAGGTAAAATTAAAATAATAATCAAGACAAAAGGAAATTTTGTTTTACTTACCCTGACCGATGCAAAGCCAACAACCAAGGCTACAACATCAGAAAGCATGTGAAAAGAGTCGGCAACCAAAGCAAGAGAATTGGTCAAATAACCAACAACAATTTCAACCAAAAAGAAGAATGAAGTCAGTGTCAGCATGGAAAGCAGACGACATGTTTTTCCTGAGTATCTTTTTTTGTCCATCTTTGAACTGTGAATAATCTGGAGAAAAAAAGAAAAAGAATTTAAATACAGCTTATTTTTAAATTTTTCTATTTTTTTTCTCCTATTAATATTTTTATTGTAGATTTATGATAAATCTTCACAAAAGAAATATAGAATATAGTGAAGGAAAAGAAAAACTTTTCAAACAGGAATGGATGATTACAAAAAAAAAAAAAAAGAAGAAGAAAATACAATTGTACAAAAACAGAGTACAAAAGTCAAACTGCTTTCAGCATTTGCTCTAATTATGATATATTTATAAAATAGACATTATAAAGTCATCTACTTTATTTAAAAAAAAAAAAAAAAAAAAAGTTCCCATTCATTTACAGTAGACATAAAATGTAGCACAAATAAGAAAGTTCTGGAAGTGAATATCAACTCAGCTTTCATTGGCTTTTTATGCTTCATTCACTTAGTTCTTTGACTTTTAAATAGGAAAACTCTCTGGCTTCAGTGGGTTAAATAAACAGAAAGTAAATACACAAAATCAGTATTAAAGAGTCCTGAACAAAGGCAGTCAAATAATAAGGATTAGTTTGGGAATAGGATTATCTCAAATGGACCAAAAGTTGATAAAGCAAGACCTCTGATATATACATGCATCTCATTTTTATCTTTAGTATGACAGTTTTAATCGCCCAGCCCATGATTTCTCTGGAGGGGGAGAGGAACCTTTCCTATATGAAAGTCTAATGATAACAAAAAAAAAAGAAAAAAAAAAAAAAAAAAAAGGATACTACAAAATCTGCTTTAATTTAATAAATACATTAAATGTGTATAAATACATGCAATTCATGTATTGGATCAGAAACGTTTATACCTGTCAGATTTAAGACAATCAGTTACAGCAAGAAGAATTTAGATGCAATGTTTGGAACAAATTTTCAAGAATCCAATTCACCCCCAAAAAAGTACCACATACTTTGGAAGAAAATGTCCAAACACACTTAATTTCTAAATTGAAAGACATCACAAAAGTATTCAAGATTCAAAGAATTTATTTTTATTCATAACTTGAAATCAAGACAAATAATATCCCATGATTCAGTAAAATAATGACACATGATCAGCAAGTTAACCTTAATATATACATTCCTTTTATCTGTGAAACATCACCAGATGTATGCTTTATGAAAACAGGCCTGAGGTATATGACTGATATGAATGATTTCTGTTATCAGTCAGCCAAAGTAAATCTTCAAGCTTACAAAATTTGCTAACAGCTGTTCAGATATGGATTAGACAAGAAAAAAAAAGTGCAGACAATTAGGTTAACAATAATTTTTGCAAAAAGGGAAAATTATTTTCTGAAGGTTTTTATTTACAGGATTGAAGAAAGTTTAACAACAAAAACTAATAAAATAAGCCTGTACAGACCAATTTCTTTTTCTTTGACATGAAAAGCTTTTTAAAAACTTTATTTACAGATATTTTTGCTTGACTTTACTAAGAGCAAATCAAAATGTAGACCAGAATTCAATATCATTTTGTAGGTTTCTGTATCTGACATAGTGAAACATAAGAACATGTGTCTTTCAATCCAATGGCCTCCTACAACTTTCTACAGTCAAAATATCCAAGATGATGATTTACAGCAATAAAACTTGGGAAAAAATAATGTAGACAGTATGACCTTAATTAAGAAAAGAAATACACTTGATCATTTCAGAGTGTTCAATAAATAGACATTGTCAGGTTTTAACAGTATTGCAATTTTTTCAATTTTAAAAATATTTCCTTAAAATTCAACAATAGTAATTTTTAAAGTGAAATACATTTGAAAGCCACAACCTAATTAAGATAATAGCTGAATTCTTAATAACTAAAATGTATTTTTAAAAATTATAAAAATCTGAAGGTTTTTTTTTTCTGGGGGGAACAAACAAAAGCTTTGCAATTTATATTCCATTTTTTAATGCAGTAAAAATCTAAGAAAAATAGCACAACCACAGTACATAAAACAAATATTAACCAAGAAAAACAACTGTTAGAAAATGGAAGTTTACATTTAAAGAAATGTTTGGATTATCATAAAATACAAAAAGCAAAGCACAAATATCATTTATAAGCAGTAATAAATGTTGTTACTCATGAAAACAATGAGATGAACTTATTTTTAAAAGTTTCAGCTATTAAAACAAAATAGGGAAAATTCTGATGTCAAACAAATCAGATTTAAGCCCAATTATAACACATGGTTAACCTGAGGTAAAACCTTTCATCATGAACACCAAATATAACACTTCTCGCTGGTTGGTCCTGGGTTAATTCCCAGCCTTGGTTGATACTGCCACTGGTTGTTAAATGTTGGCTACCTCAGTCTGCGCCATACCCTACCCACATTGTGCATTTTGATCATGGATCTGGTAAAAACTTATTTGTTGCCAGCAATCGTAGTGTTAGTTCAAACCCTGGTGAAGCTGTGTCATAAATGAAAAATAAAAATGTTCTTTGCAAACAAAATAAAAGAAAACAGGAATCCTTTGGTTCTATTTTCTATGTGGTTTATGTATTTTTTTGTACAGAAAAAATTAACCCTTCCCACTTTGATTTCTATAGTGACACTTTACCTATGAAAGGGATTTTCTGAAACAAGGCTCAAGTCTAGAATTCTCCTTGGCAGCAGGTCCCATGGGCTTCAGCAGCGTGGTTGTCTCTCATCATCTGTTATCTCTGGAATGGCTGCCACTGCAACTGCCTTGGTTGCTTCAGCACTCTGCTTATATTGACTCTTAACCAAGACTAGCATGGAGGTTGATGTGTTTGGGGATTCGGGGTTTCCCCTGTCTTTCAACAAGAGTTCTTTGTTGTCTGGCTTTGAAAAATTTACTCTCTCTCCAAATTTGGGAGATCACTTCTTCCCACAGGTAGTGATTGAAGGTACTGGCTTGCCTGTTTCCCTTATGTCTCAAACCACTACCTTCCAATGGGTTAATTCTTCCATCTCTCTTGGTATCTCATCTAAGTTTTTCACTTCAGTTGTCATTTTGACAAATCTGATTTTTAAACCGTGTGGCATGGCTTAGAGTTCTAATCATTAATTGTAATTATAATTTAATTTTTGTCAACAAATTTTTCCTAACCCAATCTTGTTTATATAATCAGAAACTTACCAGTTTTTTCCTCTGGCAGCTATCTCCATATCTTAACTCGATCACACTTATGAACCCTAGACCAAGTCCTTACATAAATAAATTCGATTTCTCGATTTGTTTACAATTTCCACATTTTGACAGGTGGAATAAATCAATTTCTCAATTCTGTCTTTGTCTTTAAAAATTACCAAATATTATCTTCTCAATCAATTTTCTTTGCCAGCTGGTTGTCAGAGACATGTTTTTGTAACTCACATTTTGGTAAGCAAATTAATTTTTCTATTTCTGCTTTATTTCCAAAATTCTTGGTCAATTCCGAATGTCCTTCCACCATCTCTCCATCACCCCTTGTGGGTTTAAATTTTCCAGGTGTCCTTTGAAGCAATATCTGCTCCAAACAATAAATCTATTTTTTTTTCAAGTTGTCTGCTTCTTTTGGTTTGTGCCATTTTGTATCTTTAACCCTTTTCATCTTTTTCAAAGTTATATTTTAATTTTAACTCTTCTTCATCTGTTCAGAGTTTATATCTTAATCCTTTCCATTTACCAGTGTCACATAGGTTGAAAAACAATTAAAATATGAAGCTCTATTGCTTGCAGTCATATTACAAAAAATCATTTATACAATTTATAGATTTTACATTTAATATTCAATTTGAGATTTAACACTGATTGAAGAAGCAGCAAAAAGAATTTGAAATTCTTTAATTGCAACAAACCTCTGCATAAAAGCTTTTGTAAAATGACATCCCCCACCCTTACTTCTTATATTTTACCAAAACCAGAAATATTTAATATACTATAAGTTTAGTATATTAAGTAGGAGAAGCAGTCAATATTTGCAGTAAAGGACTATAGCAAAGGAATTATTGGCAAGTAAACTCTATAAACATCTCTCTCACTTCATTACTAACTTACTGTTCAAAAACCAATGTAATATTTTTTCAGATTGCATTAGCTAACAAGATTATAAAGGCAGTTATGTTAAAAAAGTAAACTTCTTTTCAATTGAAGCCTTATCTGAATGAAAAAAAAAAGGCATTACTTATTTAATCCATTCCAGTTATTCTTTCAACAACAAATACTGAACAAAAATCAAATTTTCTTAATTATATTCAAGACAGAGGCCTGAGAAAAGTGATTATTAAATCAATGGTTTCAAGATTTTTAACCAAATGATATATAAAAATTTCCTTCCAAAGCTACAAGTGCAACACAAAAAACTCAAAGCTGTTGAGTTTTTTTTCATTAGATTTTACAAGCGAATTGAAATAAATTTAAGAGTGAGAAGATAGAAAAGACAGAACACTAGAAAAGAAACCCATAAAAATTAATTGCTTCTTATAAATTATTTAACACTAGTTATCTTGGTAAAGGCACGAACACACATTTCCTTATACAAATTGATTTAGATCCTATCGCCAGCATGCCACTGTCAAGGAGAATGTATAATAGGATTCCCAAAGAGGATTGAGCTTACATTTTAAAAATAAATGAAACTCACTATAAAAACCTTTTTATTGAATACAAGTTCATGGGGTAAATTAAGATTTGATATTTCCTATTTCAGCAAACTAAAATGAAAAGAATTTATCCTTTGAATCCTGGTGAAAAACAGTATTGAATATTGTTCAAATATACAAGTCACTTACTTTGATTTTTTATATCCAGTATGCTAAAAGTGCATCTTCAGCATAAAAATTGCTCAAAAGTTAATGACCCATAAAATTTTGTTAATTCAATATACAAGGAGCATGTCAAATTTTAACAAAGAGGAATCCAATTTGCTAACACTTTGTTATTGAGGTAAATCGTGTCTACAGTGAAATAATTTTGAGGAAATCATGATTTAACATTTGGGAAACTATGAGACAGTTTTATCAGATTTTAAAAAATTAA